GTTGCGTGAGCTCGACAGACCCGCCACGTTAATTTAATTAATTTAAAGTTTATCCCTGAGGAGAACTGTTCATGTTAGCTTACCCGTGCAAAAACGTATCCATGGTTACCATGCACGCCTCCAAATCCCCACTGAACAAACCAGTCCAGACAGTTTGGCTGGTTGGGGGGGGCGGCGTCACCTTTTATTAACTGCTCCGAGTAATTCATCTCCTACTTTGTTTAAAACCCGAGCTGCCAGACGGACAACCGCCTCGCTCGGGTTAGGTGATGATTTTGTGGGAAAGACTCGGGGCAGGTCGAGTGTTTCTAATTAAGAAAGTGAAATGAGCAGATTTTAACAAGGTAATTTTAACAGCCCTGTGCTCTGCTCCCTTCACATGGGTGTGAAAGTGTTTCTCGGCGGGGAGCGAGGAGGTAATGGGTGTGGGAACATTACCTTGTGGATTGGTGCAAAGGGGAAATCTCAGTCCTGATGGAGCAAATGAGAGCCCATTTGTTTTTAACACCTTCGACATTATGCTGGGAGAGCCTGCACAGCCAGCAACGTCACAATCATAGCAACATTAATAGGCGAAAAAAGTTATTGTGTTGTTGAGCGTTGCAATTAAAGAATGCAATTAACGCGTTTGTCGTACAGCAGCCATCAGCTTTCTGCCCCGAAATGTTTGTGTCTGAGTTGTATATATCTTGTTTTTTGGTTTGCCGGTCGCCCTTATTAAATTACAAGGAGCAGAATTTAGCATCAGCCCAGCTCAATACAAATCACATTACACTACAGAGTGAATGATTTAATTTGACTCATTGGAATCACCCGTTGCCATTTGCTACTGAATAGAGCTTTTGGTTTTACCAACCTACGATTGTTGCCTTGCAATATGTTATTCTCATTTGACTCAATTGTAGCTTACGATAAGTCAATCGAGTGTGCCTGTGTTTTGTCAGGATTCCCTTCCACTGGCTGCAAAGCAGCGGTTGCAGCTACTCGATCGGGAGTTGAGAGATTTGAAGCAGCTTAAACTGTCACGCCAGCCCACAGATTCAGACGGCTTCCTCTCTTATTCTCTTTCTGGGAGTTTACAAAAGACAAGGCATGTCCAGTCCTGATCTTTCTTTGACAGAGTAATTGCCCCACAGTCACTTAAACATTTATATCCTTTCCTCTTTTATGTGGAACATATTTGGCGACTTACATACTCTCAACTTTGTCATTGTCGACTCTGTCCCATATTCAGTTAAAGAAGATGTGGAAACAAAATGGTCCCTCGTGTGTGTGTTCTTGGGTTCATTTTTAGATGAAGGTCTGATGTCATGCGCGTGAGGTATCTATCATCAGTGGAAAAAAACTAAATTGTCTTTGGAAAGTGTGCCACTCTACCTGACGGGAGGACAAAGGTTTTTCTGACACTTTTCTTGTCTGTCACAGCAGAGTTATTTCACGAATAGCCGGAGAGAAAACGCAGGGCAGCTGGATGTTTTTGAGCCAACGCAGGTGGGCAATGTTGCCTCGCAGGAATTACTAAAAGTTAGAAATTCCGTGCAGGAGAGAAGAAGGAGGCTTGGAGGGATGAAGAAAAGGTGAAAAAAGAGTTTTCTTTGTGTAGCACTGTAGCCTTGAGGGATTTGGTACGATTGTATAAGAACCAATTTCACACACAACACACAAAATGTATTGACAAAGCTTATCTGCAAGCATTGGGTTATAGCATAACCTGTACGTTGGGTGTGATAAATTAGCAAATAGCAAATAAATTAAAGGGAATGGAGACACTGTCTAATTCTTATGTTGTGATTTAACTCTTGTCGGTGCTTTTCTGACGGCATTTGTTGACTTCACTTCACTGGTGTTCTTGTTTGGTACATTTTCTGCACAATTTCTCTCGTCCCTTCCGTCGGTCTGGGTGAACTTCTTCAAAATGGCCTCGGCTGCTTTTATTCACCAGAATTTATTTTCCCCAGGTGCCGCGTTGCTTGCCTTTTTTTTCTTCCTCTTTTCAGCTCAATCCTTGTTTTACGGCCTCACCTTGCCATTCATCAAATGGCCTTCTCAATCTTTTCTCCATATACGGGGACACTAAAAACCTAATTCAACTGCCCACTTTATCACACCTACGTGACAGTTTCTTCACCTAGAACTCAAGCAATCAACAGCGCGAGCGCCGCCCCCTCCCCTTCCTGCTCTCTCAGTAAAGACATATCCGAGTGGCGGACAGACAGTCCAGACAGACAGATGATGCAATGTGTGCGATGGACAGATCCATCACACACGGGTATAGTTTCCCTACTCCGATACATGTATTCGGTTCCGTATGTCCTCTGACACGCAGACCGCTAGTCGACCCGCGACCTGCTGCATCGGCCGTAATGTCGTTGACAAAATGAAACGCTTGCTGTTGTTTCTGCTGAGAAGGTCCCACGTGGCTACAGTTCAAGGGTTTTGTTCAAAAGGCCTTTGTGTAAGTTTTTGTTTTTTGTAAAACAATTACAGCACATGGTCTGAGGATTTTATCTAACGCTAATGAAATCCCATGTTGGAGAGAAAATCAGTGGCTTTAAGTGCTCCGTCTGTCCTTTCGAGACATGAACAGCGCCGGCGCGAGTTCACCCGTTGTCACCATTGATTTCTCCTCAGTTTGGCCCTCAGGAGCCTGCAAGCTATCGCTTGGATCCGATCTGTCGACTGAATTGAAAGCCTGTCTGAAAACGGCCAGGCTTTTTTTGGTACCTTTATCTTCGCTCGTACGTAGGCTGCCAACGCCCTATTTTTGCATCTGCGGGTGCTTTAAAGTTGGCTGCTATACACAGAAACGAGTGAGGAGATGTTTAAGGATGTGGCGGAAGACTGTCTGATTATAGCCCTTCGTCTGTCCCACACCTTTTCACAAAAAAAACATCTCCCCCCCCCCCCCGGCCGCGGAGCGCCTTCCTGCCAGAGACAATTCTATCCGAGTCATTACAGGCTACATGACAAACGAGCGTGGTAATTCTGTGTGGACGCTGAACAGGCCGGCACTCGTACAGCGGTAGTAATGTCACGTCGGCACATCGGGCAGCAGTGAGGAGGGTGAGAATAGCCCCCCCCCCCCCCTTTCTCACTCTCACACACACAGTAACACACTCTCACATAGAATTACTATGACGATCCTATTAGAAGGTCCGTAATGGCGGGGACAAAGTGTGACTGGATGGTTGGGTTGGGGTGTTGAGCAGCCTCATTTAAAAAGGAAAGAAAAGGTGCTGAGGTGTTGATATCTGTCAGTGTGTGAGTGTGTGTGAGCACATACCAGTCTGCCTATCTATACAATATCTTTTTTTGCATCTGCAGAATAAAATGGTTGTTTTTTTCTGCTCTATTTTGTGTTTTTCAGCAATAAACTGGCAATGCCAATAGATCCTCTTACAGTTGGTCGTTATGAGTTCATAGGAGAGGCCTGGTCAGACTGGTTGTCTGGTGCGAGGCAAACGGACAGACAGAAAGGGATGATGGGTGGCAGGATGTCTGTTACAGACAATTACGTCTAATTAGATGCCCGGAGTGACCAGAGTCCCTGAAAGCTGCCAGATGACGCAGAGAGCGTGGACAGAATCTCTCCAGAATGCAGCACTGAACATCATTACAAACCGGGTGGGGATCTGGAGCACGTCGTCGGGTAACACCCAGTTTGCACGACGGATTATTGCAGTTGATTTTGGCCAACTGAGACAATGGAGAGGCTGCTTCTTATGTAGTCAGATCTCCCGTGCTGAAGGGAGCAGAGGAGAACTGTAGCTCCAGCTACAATGGGCCGCAGAAAGATTGTCATCTCCATTCAGGCCCCACTGCAGCAGCTGTAAAGAGGCTGATACGCAGATTAGATGGGTCTGGCCGGCCGGCCAAAGAGCCACGTTACGAAACACAAGCCTCGATTGTGGTTTACGAGCATTTCCAGGGAGATTGCAGGAAGGTAGGCCTGGCCATCGCAGCTGGGTTGTCGGGGAGTGAAGGCATTTGGATGTGCGTCCCTGAGTAGGACAGAGAGACCCAGAAAGAGACGGATGAATACTGACATGTTAGGTCCAAGAATGAGAAGGACTATTGTCTTCACTGGCATGCTGTGCCATTGTATGAGGAGACCAAACCTGCTTCCTGACATGCATGCATATCAGTTCATTAGTGCATGTGACTGACAGGAATGTTGGTGTTATGCAAACGATGCTCCCGTCATTCACCTTAACAAACAAAACAGCGATTTGGGAACCTGGGGCAGGAAATGTTTCAGGTCAAAGATGACCAAATCCGCATTGGACCTCAGATCCAATTGTAATTAACAAGTTGTCTTGCGGAGGATGAATTATTCTTAATTGGAATGGTTAAAGTAAAACTAATAAGTGTAAAACTTTACCAATTTGCAAACTGCCACGCTTGAGCGAGTCCATGTGGCTGATATTTAGTGTATGAACAGGACTGCCTGCAAACACGTTATTTAAAACTATTTTAAAGAGGTATTCCAGCTATTTCCACATAACGTTTGGAGACACACAAGTTTACAGATTAAGGCGGATTTGTCTCAGGCTTTGAAAACACTCCTACATTTCCCATGATGCAACTTGACAGCTCGCAAAACCGCCATGCTTCATTAATAGCCAACTCTTTAAAACACCCACACCTCCACCTTTTTACAATTAAGTCCCAAGCTAAATATCCCGATTACATCATTATCATCGTTACCAGATGCATAAACGGAACGTCGCGGATAAATTGTGGAATGCCTCTTTAATTTAACTGCAAAAGTCACTTAATTGACTCTGTTTTTGGCAGAGGACTCGGACATCTCAACAGATGACCCATAAAAAGGTCCACGAACCTCTGTTTCGGAAGCCCCTGAATCTAACCTACATTAAAATATACCGATTATTACTCCCACGGCGCTCCGAACCCCCTCCTCCCTCCTCCTCCCCCCGAGCTCACAGTCCGTGGGAAGGAGGAGTTTAACCCCACGGTGTCTGGGAGGAGTCCTCGAGGTCTCCTGGCGCTCCGTCCCGCGAACATTTGCGCTCTGGGAACGGCGCAGTGGTGGAAGTACACTTCAAGAGGAAAGAAGGGTGGAGGAAAAAAAACCCAAATCCGATTTGCACGTTTCTGCTCCACGCCGCGACGTTATTCTCACGCGGTCTCGCGCGGGGGAGCGCGTCCGCCGGAGGAGACGTTGAGCCGGTGAGTTGAGAGCCAACTTGTCCTCCTCCTCCCGTCGCGGTTTAAAAGGACTCCGCTGCTTTCGCGTGCGCGCTTTGTCCGCTGCCCGACGCGCACTTTACGCGCATCGGGGAGCCAGTTTTTTTTTTTGTCTGATGACCAAAAGTTGAGGGGTTGTTTGTGTTATTTTAATTTGCAGGGCGACTTTTCACGCGTTGGTTGTAAATCTCGTTGCAGCAGCTGCGACCTGAGTTTGTTTACGTCACCTGTGATGAAATGCGTATTAATGCAAAGCGCCCGCCCCTTTTGTTTATACTCATAATATCAGCTATAACGTTAATAACGCTGACTCTCACTCTACTCCTCAATGCAACCCCCCCCTATTAAGTCCTGTTTGCTGTAGGACAAAATGTGTTACGATAAATGAAATAAAACGCATGTTGTCAGCAGGCTCAGCTGTAGGAAATAAATCAAACCTCCAGACCAAAGGTATTTAGTTGTCACCCCAATGACGAAACGGATCACTGCAGTGTGAACGTTCAACCTGTGGCCCTCAGCAGTCTCCCCGTCTGCACGTTGCTTCCCTTCTGATTTATGAACTGAGCGATTGGGAGATTCTGGTCCATCCACTAAACGCTTGGGGCACTTTCCGCTCTCCGGTCACATTCAGAGGCAACAAAAGGGCCCCCTCCCTCCTCCCTGCCCCCCTGGGGAGGGCCCGCCCAGAGTAAACAGCCCCCCCAGGGGCAGGAGGAAGGGCCGGGCACACCCTTTGGCATGCTTCGGCCCTCTGTCCCGGAAACCCTCGCGGGAAAGTGTCAGCGGGACGGTCCCACTACCTTTGAACCCCTGCTGCTCTGGAGGGTTGTGATAATAAAACACAGGCTAATGTTTGACTCGGGGAGGCCGGCTGGTGTTGTTATTGATCCGGCGGAGGAAGTGCTGTATTTATGGCAATAAATGACATTGCTGAATGATGGCTGATGGATGCGCTGTAAATGGTTTGTAATCATTTACTTCATCCAGGAATAAGGCTCTGCCCCACACGGGCCCCCAGAGAGAATCATTCCTTTTGTTTTATTTCTCAGCAGGGGGAATGTGCCGCGTGATTGGTTTGTAGTGTAGCCCAACCTGCCTTCTTTCATTGACTCTACATAAATAGTTATTTGGTTACAGAATTATTGCCGTCCTGATTTAGTTTTTTTTGGGGGCGAGGGGGTTGAAGGCCAGGAACCAAATCGCCGGGTCAGAAGCCGTGTCCCCACATGCGTTCATTTTCTCTGCCTTTTACGCACATTTCTGTGGCGAAGAAGTCCTCAACCACAAGGAACATTCTGTTTTCACTGTTCTGTTTTTCCCTGAAGTTGAGACGGGGTCTTGAACCAGAGTGATTCTGATGAAGTGTGACCCGTAATTTCCTCTCTTTGTAATGGAAAACGTTATGCTTTTTTGTTATGTTCGCTCTCTCCATTCGTCGCATTAAGCTTTTCAGCTGGCGGGAACGTCAGTTTGTCCGAGTTGTTTACCAGGGACAAAAGGACAAACGCAACGCTACCGTCTCTGTGGGTGGCACGGGGTCCCTTTACAGGCACTCGCTGCTCATCTCTTGTGTGATTCAACACGCTCTCTGGAACGGTATCGACACAGGAACGTCCCTCAATTTTGTTTTGAAGGCAGTTGATGCACAGTGCTGGACTGTGGAGTTGTGGTAAGAAGAATATTTTGGCGGCTGATTTGATGCTGTGTGTGAACAGCAGCCTTCACTAAGTGTGGAATTTGTTCTCCTGTCCGCGGGCCATTTGGAAGGCTCTCTCTGTCTGTGTGTGTTAGTGTGTGTGTGTGTGTGTGCGTGCCCGTTGTTGCTAATTCTGAAGCACGCTGACCGAGAAACACCAATGTTTCATGTCTTCTCCCCGGCACATTTTTCTCCATATAAGGTGGCGGTGCATGTGACTTATCAGGCATGGGTAACATCTGTGCTCATTGTCACACGGGGATGAAGGCCTTCTACTGTCTCTAGGTAGAGAGGCACCGCAGGGGGGGAAACCACGGGGGGGGGGGGGGGGGCTTGTGACTCGTGCGTCTTTAGAAGCAAAAGGATCTGAAAAGCATCACATTAACAACTGTCTCTTTTTGCCTGCTCCCCCCTTTACGATGCCCTTTCAAGGCTTCTGTTTGGGTGGAGACGATCTGGTAAGGCGAGCATAATGGTGGCCCGCGTGTTTCTATTTCTCACAGCTGCGGTTGAGATTATATTTGGCTTTCAAAGTGTTTGCCGGTACCGTGCGACCGGCCGCGTCTGGAGTGGCTGCTATAAAAAGCAGGTGAGCTAAAAGCTGCCGTTGACAGCGTCTTGGCCCGAGACTTCTCCTTTGGCCGCCGCACTCGTCGAGGCGCCGAACACGGGGCACATGACTGGCTCTGACCCCTTGCCCGGGCGCACACAAGTACAGGTCAAAGAGCCATCACCAGCCCAACATTGGCTTTACCCGAGCTGCGCTGTAGCGGCTGTTTGGACCAAAAATAAAACCTGAACCCTGTGACAAAAAAAGACTGTGTACCTTCTGTGCTGCATAATTCAGTGATTCCGAATTTAACTTGTTTTGCTGTGGCTTCTTGGTCAGCGGACGCACACAAACACACACACACACACACACACACACAACCCATCCACTTTGAGGGATTCTGTTCAGTCAGCTCTACTTTGTGTACGTGCTCCTAAACAAGATCCTTTGCTCTTCTGCACAAACGGGAACCATGTGACCAGCTCAGCAGAGCGACCTGGTCTCATCCAGCTGAACCCATTCAGGCTCCTCTTAGCCCCCCCCCCCCCACCCCCGACCTCTAGAGGGGATTAATCCATAGGTCTTAATTGAATTGCGCTCCTTCTGGGGTCCCCTGCTAAAGAATGGCTTTTAAGGCTTTTGCAAATTCAATGAAGATTAAATGGCGGCGGGCGCTTTAACGATGTGTCAAACAACGTAATGGAGTAAGACTTAGGTGCCGGTTATCAGGGTTGTAGATGAAGAAATTAACACGGTAGCTCTTTAAACAGCCCCACACAACTTCTCTTGTGAGTCAGACTTTCATTAACCCCCGAGGAATTACTGCAAGGCATGCCGTTACCATTCCTTTTTTCGGCGGTCATATAAATCATATGGTGAAAGGTGTGCATGAGGCAAAAAAATGCTCCCGTGGCAGCAGTTGAGGAGCGTGCATGTTGAGGGGCGTGCATGGTGAGGAGCGTGCACGGTGAGGAGCGTGCACGGTGAGGAGCGTGCATGTACGTCCAGTGAGCTCACCAGACTGCATGCAATCTATCAGTCTGGGGGAAAAAAGGTGCTGCCTCTGCAATTGTTTGATTTTTGCAGGGGATTTACAAGTTGTGGATGTTTTAAGAAGCGGTTTGATTATTCAAACGTACAAACAAAGAAGCGAAGGGGACGAGTAGTATTTGGTACGTAGGCTATTTGGCGGAGTATTGATCTGTGTGTGACACTTGATAAGCCCCACACACCCAGCTGCTACTGAGAGGAGTGTGTGTGTGTGTGTGTGTGATATTTTATGCTGGAAACACAATCCTTTGAGCACATGGCTGCTGTGCGTATAACACTGTTGGAACCTTTCATGCTGATATTGCATGCGGCAGTCTGCATGTGCGATACATTTGTGTTTCTTAAACCTTCAAAAGACGCCGCGTGTTGGCACATGCATCAGGGCAATTAGCAGCCCTGTTGAATAGGAAATACCCCTAATGCTGCAACCCCTCCCCACCAGTCAATCCCAACAACAATAGAAATTGAGATTGATCGTCCCTACCTTGGCCCGGTAGCCATACGGTCTTCCTTACTATCCTTGCCCTATTGGAAAGGCAAACACAGCTGGTGCTACAGACTAAAGTGCTCGCTGCTGGGATGTTCTGTTGGCGCCATGTGACTTGCGCCCCCCCCCCAACATGATGGATGGAGTGAATACTTGGGTACACATTTACTCTGGCACATCCCACCTGCTCATCCTTAGGTGGAAATGGACTATTGTCCCTTATGAAAGCACACCAACTTTATTTTCCAATTGTCCGTAGAATAATTAAAGCTGTGTTCGTCTGTAGTTTTCATAATTAATTTGACACATTTCTATCACCGTAGCCGTGATTCTTATCCCATGAGAAATGCTGAGTATTAGTACCACAGTGTTCTAAAGGGCAGGTGGGGATATGCACAAATCGATTGCTGACCAAACGTGGATCCAGCCGTGTCCACTAGTCCATTCATCAGAGTCTCCCCGTAGCACCGATGTATATCTGTCACCACAACACTCAATTGCTGTAACTCTGCAGTTCCACAAGATATTGATGTTGATACCTTTCTATTGCTTGCTCAGGAGTTCGCTCCACTGAACTGCTTTGCCCATATCTGCGCAGTTTTCCTGGGCTTTGTGTCGGACATGAAGAGCGCCGGGGAGGGTCTCTGGCATCCGGTGTGCTCGTGTCAAGTTGAGGAAACATTTTCAGGCTCATTAGCGCTCCTCTCGCTGTCCAGCCCCCCGCCCTGCTTCGGCATTGTGTGGTTTGATCTTCTGGAGAGATAAGCTCTTTTCTCCACTTCTCAGTCTCGCCCCGGCCTTGTTTAGTTGGCTCAGTCATTTGGCTTCCGGCCAGCGCAAACAGAGGCAGGGGCCACTCGGTGAACACGCTCAATTTAGAGCTTTCTTTAAAAAACGCTTTTCTCTCAAAGAGGTAAATGTATCCAAACAACCTGTTTCCTCAGTGGGGGGGTGGAGGTGGGCAATATCATCGTCAAGGCTTATTTGGCTGACAGGCCTCAGCAGGAGTACAAAAGTGTAAAGCAACTGTAGTTTTAGGGACGTTTCTTTCTGTTTAATCATTCTCGGCAAGCTACGCCTCTTTGGAAAAGCAGCGAATTGGTGCAATATGCCTCACGTCCTCCATGCGGGAAAGCCAAGGGGTTTATCGGCAGTGGGAGGGCCGGTGTGTGTGTGTGTGTGTGTGTGTGTGTGTGTTT